TATTAGATTGAAGAAAAGAAGAACAACTGAAAAAAGGTAATGAAAGAGGCGAAAGGTTCATCAAATGAAACATTTACCAGCAGTAGCATTAGACATTTGAGTACGAAATCTTTCGAAATTACTTTTAAGATCAGCATCTAAGGTTCTTCCACCAGCACCCACATTCATTTCACCAATAAACTTCAATATATCATCTAACATAGGAAATAAGAATTGTTTAAACATAACATCTTGTGTTTTCATTGATTTATCAAAGTCCTGATATTTTTCCTTTAATAACAATAGATCAGCTTCCATACTTGAATTACTAGATTTTATATTATCTAATTCTTTAATAATTTTCTGATCACGTTCATTCTTTTCAATAATAAATTGTTGAAAATGTTTGTTTGATTCACATAATTTACTTAGAGTTTCATTTGCTTGTGTTAAACCAGATAAAAGAACATTTAATTTTGAATCAAGAGAATTTCCAGAAGTTGACCAGGGTGCTAACAATCGAGGAAAATCAGTAGTGGTGTGATGAAACTTGTTGTTGTTGGTTGTTGTGTTAGTAGATGAGGATGAAGGAAAGGAAGGATTATCATTTTTATTGTTCATTAAATTTTTTGTAAGAGCATCACGAAAAGATTTTACAATTGGACACTTCATTGAATTGGATAAATGATCACCATTACAATGTATACACTTAATAATAGATGAACATTGATGAGCTTTTAAATCTTTATGAGTTTCACCACAAGATTTGCAAGTTTCATTTTGTTCAGGACATTGACGACGAAAATGACCAATAGCACAACACTTCGAACAAATTAACACATTAACAGGTGCAAGATATTCGTCAACATCATAACAAATATAATTAATAAAAATTTTTTTATTCTTTAATAAATCATTTCTAGTTTTTGGAGAAGTTAATTCTAGTTTGACCAATTTAATAATATGTCCAAATTTGTTTTTCATTCGGATAACATTTCTAACATCAGGATATAAATTTTTAATTTCATTCGAGAAATCATCAAAATTTAATTTAAGATCTACATTTTTAATAATTAATGATAGTTGCGGCGGAATAGAAGGAACTGAAGGAAATTTAAATTTTTCATCACAAATCCTCTCCGGCCATTTAGTGTGATCCAAAAGAAATGCAAATGAAGTTGGATCTTTAACAAAAAGTAAAACATCGATTTCATTGTTGCTGCATTTTAAGGACGAAATCCGACAGTTAGCAATTTCAATATTGATATCATAATTCGATTGAAAATGATGGATAATAACTTCTTTAAATTTACTAATTACAATTTTGTTGACATTAAAGCGAACAACGTGAGGTGGAAAAGGAAAACGTGTTAATGCATAACGAGTTGAAGCTGATGTAATCAAGTGTTGCTGATTTGGTAAAGTATCATGTAAATTCAAAGAAGAATTTGGAACATTATTAACATTACCATTCATAATCATATTAATATTGTCATTCTCAATATCAGTATCTTGAGGAATATGCACTTGATAATGATTAATATTATTATCTCCATGATTCTTCAGCTGTTTAGATTTTTTGTATGTAACTATTTGGAATTGGTCACCATCAGAAGTATTTGAATAAGACCGACGAGCTGAACGTGAAGGAGAATGAACCAAATGAAAATCCGTAGAACCAGTAACATCAGCCGAAACGGCATGATGAGTGATTGTGGAATGTTTTTGGATTTTATCACCACTTTGTACCGGAGCATCAGACATATCATCAGTTAAAGAATTTTTACCATTATTTATAAACAATTTTTCTTTATTTGATTGAGAATTTCTCATTGGCCTTAATTTCATTAAATATGAACTTTAAGGACAAAAAAAAAAGATCACGCAGAGGGCACGTGATTCAAAATGAGATATACGTAATAGAATAGAATATATAGATAGAAAAGACAAAACACGTCTGATCAGGACGAAGTATAAAGAAAGAATGAGCACATGGAAATATTCTTACGGTTGTACATGGTTTTAAATTTCTTTCTGGGTAAAAATTATTCTTTGCATTAATTTTTATCCTTACGATTACTGTGCATGAAGAGATGCAAATTTCTCGCTATTATACTTCACTACTGATTTTTAATCATGCTTTACATAAAAAAGATTTGTTTCTATTTAGAAATTTATCTTATTGCTTGTTTAA